CCCGGGCGCTCGGCGATGTGACCGTTCGCGCTGGGCTGCGCCGCGCACCATCCGAGCCGAGTGCGGCCAGCGTCGCCACAGGTGATTCGCTCTCCCGTGCAGGCAGCCTAGCCCGCTGGACCCACTGCAAAACATTCTTCGGTTAGTCCTTTCGGACCAGGTGGATCTGGAGAAGGGGGAAGACCCCCGCCCCCCAGGAAAAGTCTCACTGTTGATAAAACGACCACCAAAATTTAAAAAGTGACTCCTCTCCTTACCTCCTCTTCTTCCGGGAGGCAGACGGGAGACATGGCTTGCCCTTTCCTCCTCTGCCTCTTGCTCGCTCAGCTGGGATTGGGAGCGGTCGGCGCCAGCCGCGAACCCCCGGGACGGCCGGATCCCCATCGGGAGAGGCCCCTGAGGGCCAAGCAGCACGCGCAGCAGGCGGCTCGAGCCTCCGCCCCGGACCCCTCGGCTCCCTGGAGCCGCTCCACCGACGGCACCATCTTGGCGCAGAAGCTCGCCGAGGAGGTGCCCATGGACGTGGCCTCTTACCTCTACACCGGGGACTCCCACCAGCTGAAGCGGGCCAACTGCTCCGGCCGCTACGAGTTGGCCGGCCTGCCGGGGAGGTCTCCAGCCCTGGCCAGCTCCCATCCCTCCTTGCACGGAGCGCTGGACACGCTGACACACGCCACCAACTTCCTCAACATGATGCTGCAGAGCAATAAGTCTCGGGAGCAGAACTTGCAGGACGACATGGAGTGGTACCAGGCACTGGTGCGCAGCCTTCTGGAGGGGGAGCCCAGCATCTCCCGGGCGGCCATCACCTTCAGCACCGAGTCGCTGTCCGCGCCCGCCCCGCAGGTCTTCCTCCAGGCCACGCGCGAAGAGAGTCGCGTCCTGCTCCAGGACCTGTCCTCCTCCGCCCACCACCTGGCCAACTCCACGCTGGAGACCGAGTGGTTCCACGGCCTCCGGCGCAAGTGGAGGCCCCACTTACACCGCCGCGGCTCCCATCAGGGGCCCCGGGGCCTGGGCCACAGCTGGCGGCGCAGGGACGGGCTCAGCGGGGACAAGAGTCATGTCAAGTGGTCGCCACCGTATCTGGAGTGCGAGAACGGGAGTTACAAGCCCGGGTGGCTGGTCACGCTTTCCGCTGCCTTCTATGGGTTGCAGCCTAATCTGGTCCCTGAATTCAGGTAGGGAGAGGGGAAAGGGCAAAGGGCAAAGCCGTCCTTCCGGTTTTACAGGTAGGGCGCCTGAGTGTGGAAAGAAGGCTTAGCTGTCTGTGACAGTTGCCTCCCTCCTTCAGAGCAGACTCTGGGTGAGGGGCGCCCCAGAAGAGCCCACGTACTTAAGGACCAGAAGCCCTCCACATCTGTCAGCTTCAGGCACCCAGAGAAAGCCTTTCTCTTAGATGAGTGACAGGAACAGGGTCCCTGGGTAGAGCGGAGAAGCAGCCGCTGATCGATGCTTCCCTCCAACCCTGGGGATAGGAAGGGAGTTCCCGTTAGGGGGTGCCACTGAACTTGGCCAGTTTGGGGTGCACAGGCTGCGTGGACAGGCAAGCATCAGATGACAGGTGAGCAGGAGAAAGAGAGTTCCTTCTGTCTGGCACTTCGGGGTTTCTTCTGCCTGTTTCCTGCCTGTTTGGGGCACCAGTCTGTTGTTTGTCAACTACCGCAGCGTATAATTAAACCTGTGCTGTCCCCCGGGCAGTTCTTGCCGCTCAGCAGTGAGTCACTCTCAGCGCCAGCTGTCTCCAGTAGACAGACTTGGCGATTTGGTCATTGTGTTCCTTTTATTTCACGTCCTCCTCTCCCAGTCCATCTTCCGTTCCTCGCTGCCTTTATTCTCCAGCTCCCCATGGCATGTCCACGTGTCCACCAGCCCCTCATATACTCACACACTTCGTAATGAACCTACTTCAGTTGTCTTAGGGAGGGAGGGATCAGTTCTCGCTGAATTCACTCAGGCAGTTTGAAGGGAGCCCAGACAGTTCCGTATTTGCTGCCTGGAGGTACAGTATGGCATTTGACCAAAGCTGAGAATTTGCAAATTGGCAGTTTGTAACTTCTGCCCTGGGAAGTGCCTGGCCTGTGTGGCAAGGAACTTTTTTTTTTTTATTATTATTATTTTTTTTGTTTTGTTTTTTTTTGGTTTTTCTCTGGTACCGGGAACTGAACTCACGACCTTGCTCTTGCCAGGCAGGCGCTTTGCCGCTGAGCTAAATCCCCAGCCCCGGCAAGGAACTTTTAGATGCAGCTTTTAAGAGTGGATGCAAGGAAGAAACAACAAGGAAAGGGTAGAAACTTGAGAGAGGTTTTAAAGAGGGCTGAAGACTGATTAGGATCCTCCCTAATTCCCATGATGGGAAGCTCTGGGGAGAAGGCCTTGAAGGGCTGAGGTTGCTTCTGTATCTCTTGGGAGCCTGGGCAGAAGTGAAGAAACTGTGTGTGTGGGTTTTTTGGCTTAGTTTTGCCCTGACACAGCAAGACTGGGATATGGAACTGCTGAAGTTATCAGGGCGTATACTGGGTAGGCGAGTGGGTAGTCATAAGGCTTTAAGTGTGTGTGGGCAATGTCATTTACTGCTCAACAGCCTCAAACAAGTTACTTGAAATCTCCCTGGGCCTCTGCTATGTATTTGTCAAATGACAGAATTGAACTTGTCTCTAGGGACTCACACAGTTTTATAAAGTCTGTAGCTTTTAATACTGGCAACACTTCTTAAAATCTGTAGCTTTTAAGAAGACATAAATGAAAAGCAACCCCCTTTGATTCTTTATGACCTTACTCCATGTGTGTGTGTGTGTGTGTGTGTGTGTGTGTGTGTGTGTGGTGCCTTTAAACTATTATAAGTTTTCTACTTTCAGGATAATCTCATTTCCTCCTGATTCCTGCAGGATCCTATTAGTAAGAGCTGAACCTAGCTTTGAATCTTTGCCATACTGTTTGCTCTGAAGAAAGATCAGCAGATGTCATTCATTGCTACTCAACTGTGGCCTTTAGACGAGCCTTTTCAGGGAGTCACAGACCCTATCTACCTACCTATCTATCTATCTATCTATCTATCTATCATCGATCTATCCATCCATCCATCCATCCAACATTTACTATCAGACTCTGCTAACTAGTTTGCATGCACTCTCTTGATAAATCTTTACAGTAATCCTGAGTTAGATTTATTATTTTCCTTATTTTACAGAAAAGGAATATTAAGCACAGAGGGATTAAACTTTTTGCCTAGATTTGTTTAACAACAGTTAAATAGTAGAGCCAGGATTTAATCTCACATCCTACTTTTCACCACTATGATAAACTGTTTTCTGAAAGTGGCTTAGGGGTGCTGCATAAACATAAGTGTATTTTCGCTGGGTGTGGTGGCAAATGCCTGTAAAGCTAGCCACTCAGAACACTGAGGCAGGGTGATAGCAATCTTGAGGCCAGCCTGGGCAGCTTAGTGAGACTCTTTCTCTAAATAAAAACATTAAAAAGGCTGTGGATACAGCTCAGTGGGCGAGTGCCCCTGGGCTTAACCCTCACTATAAAAAAAGTATATTTTCAAGGATTATATATATGTGGGGCTGGGGAAGAAAACCATTTATTTTTAGAACTCTTTGTCTTAAAGATCCGAAAACACAGGTTACCTAAATGAACTTGATGTCTCCTTCTAGCCACAGTGAAAGGCTGAGACACCGAGTCTGGGTTTGGGAAGGCTACCGCGCCCCCTACGTATTCTTTGATTCAGTAAATTGTTGGCAAGGAGCAAACCCAGGCCACTTAGTGTCTGGCTTGCTGCAGAAGCTGGGTGGTCTTGACAGCTCCACAAAGAGCAGAATAAGTGCTCCTGTGAGTGCTAGAAGATATCTTAAAGGGCCCAGATAGTTCTACCTGTTGTTTCATAAGAAAACAACCTTAGAAAGGAAAAGTGACCGGCCCAAAAACTCATATATCAAGTCATAGCAACAACAGAAGCAGGACAGAGGCCTATGCTTCGGGGTCATACTGGTTGTTAATTTCTGGGCCTGTGTGAACCGCACACACAGCGCACAGAATATGAAGACATATCTTATTCTTTATCATTTTCTGTTAGGACAAAAAGGAGGAAACCCCTAGTGATTACAGCTATTGGATCTTGTGCTTTTGTTTTTAAACTGGGGAACCAAATCCAGGGGCACTCTACTATTGAGCTACATCCCCACTCCTTTCTTTTTTATTATTACATTTTGGGTTTTTTTTTTTATTAGTGTGTTTTTCCAATACAGAGCAGTGATGTTCATTTTGAGGAAATGGTACATGAGGGTAACATATCTTGATCATTACTGATCCCTTTACCCTGCCCTCCC